AACCTTGTAGTGCTTTTCGTGGGCCTTTAAAGTCAGAACCTTGGTGTGTAGTTGGAGACTTCTATTCTGCCTCATTTTCTGAGTTTTGAGCATTTGAGGTGAGCCATGATCACCTCTTTGTCATTTTGATGATTTAAGCTTGTTTAATCGGTTAAAAAGTAAAACCTGGATCATTTGAGTTAAGGACTGAGTTTCTGAGTTCCTAACATGTTAATGAATATCATCTGTTTAGGGAGTTTTTGGACTCCCAGTCGCTTTTGAATGCTTTAAATTGGACTTATGCAGTGAACAACTCGAGTTTCTGCATTCTGTCTGATAAGTATCCGAATACTTTTCGTGTAGTGTTCGAATACTAATCCCTTGGTAGTCGAATACTCCTTGCAGGAGTATGAGGATACTTTTCTGGGAAGAAAAATATTCGGATACCTTGAAGAAGTAGTTGAATACTGGGTAGTATTCGAATACTTGGGTGTGGGTATTCGAATACCATTTAACACTTGAAACATCATCCAAGCAATGCAAACAACCTCAATTCCTTACACTTCTCTAAATGGCCGAATTGTAGCCTAAGTAATTCCAAGAGATTTCATTCAATTTTCAACCCTTCCACACTTCACACAATACCATTATATCAACATATAATCATCCAACAACTCACCACTAAAATCCTAACACATTTTTGAAATTCAAGTCATGACACCTCAAAATATTTAAGTTACAAAATCATAATTTTCACCTAAAATTTTCATTGCATTTATAGCTAATACACATTATTCTAAGACACATTCATGTATAAACTTTTTCCAATTGAGCTCTCTAACATCACACATCAACAATTCAAGGTTTAGGGTTCATAACTATAATATACAAATAAACCATGGAATTGGGGTGGAAACATACTCACAAACAAGGCTTGATACTCCTCCAAGACTTATCAAAGTAATGGAAGACCAAATGACTCCATGAACATCAATTTTTCTCCAAAAATTCGCAGCTGAAAATGGCTAATAACTCACCAAAGAGAGGGTTTCAAGGGTAATGGATACCACCAATGTGTTTGGAAGGTTGTTTCCAATAAATTTCAACACAAAAATCACTTGATTTGGTTAAGAATTGATGGATTTATCAAGGAAGAAAATTGAAACCCTAAGGTGCCTAAGGAGGGAGGGCTGATCGGTTTTTGAGAGAGAGAGATGAAATGAAGGTGATAGTGATTAGTGAATAGCTTAGGTGGATAAGTGGACTTAAGTGGGGTGGGTCCCACGCCACCTCACGCGAATTAAAATTCATCCGAATTTCTCTAAACGTCCGTGAATTCACAACCTATTTAGAAACTCTAATTTTTAACATTAACTATTGTCCTTTAATTATACTTGATCAGATGAATCCGGAGTTTTCCGGTCGTTCGGAGAAAACACTGTTTTAAGCTGTTGCGCGCGCCGTTGGCACGCTTCCCCAAACTAAATTAATTCCATCAAATATTATCAGAAATCATATTTCCTAGTTTTATGGACCATTTATAACTCATATTTACAACCTAGAACTCAAAACTCAATCGGCACATTTTACGGTGCAATCGTACCGCGGTATTTTTACCCGATAAAAACCCTATTCACTGATTTTTCTGAAACTTTCTTATCCACTCAATTTTTCATTCTGATTCCATTTTCAATGTTATTTTTATCATCTGAGACCTTCTACTAAATTTTTGTCTTCCTAGGGTTGCGTGTTGACTAATTACCGTTTTGCCATTTCTTTGTATTTTGGCCTAATTTTCAGGATTTTCACTAATCCTTCCTTTTAATTCTCATTTTATATATTAATATTTAATTTAGAATTGCAAGGTGTTATAGTTCTAGTACCTCTAACAACCCATTTTTCTTTTAAACTTTGTTTTATTGACATTATATATTTTCTATTAATCTTCCTGAATTTAATTTTATATTTCGGGTCATTTTGTCGGTTCACATTTTTACCGCAAAATATAGTATTTATACTTTCCCCCAAATAGTGATTTAATTTAAAATTATTATTTTCTTCTAATTATCCTATCTCTATTATGGAATAATTTTGCTAAAATCATAAATTATTATTATTAATTTACTAAAATTCTAATTTAACAGTGCAGGTTCTTACATGTACCAACAAAATCTTAAACCTACCAAGAAGAAGAAACACTTCAGCCCAAACCCATTATAGAAGCAAAAAGCTAAAACTTATAATCTTCGAAAGACTCAAGTCTTGCTTAACTCAAAACAAAATCAACTACATGTGCACTAAGCCACGCTTGAGTATTCAGTGGCGGAGCCACATGTATTGTGGATGTGGCCTTAGTCCGAGCTAAATTTTAACAAATTGTACTTATTATATATAATTATATAATTAATTATAATTTGGCCCAGATTAAAATTGTGATTTGACCCGGGCTACAATTTGTAATTTGGCCCTTTGTAAAATTTAAAATATTTTTGGTGAAAGATTTGAGTAAGTTGTATTAGGTTATGTGTCTAATTTTCACTTGTTTAAAAAAATAAATTATGTTTAGTAAAATTAAAAATTATTTAATAAAATTATAACTCTTCTTAGTGCTTCTTGCTCAGATGTTCTATATTTAATATAATTTAAATATATTATAATATGAACTAACTAAAATTAAGAAAAATAAATACACATATAATTTTTTGGTCCGGGCCCAAATTTGAGCCTGGCTCCTCCAATGTGAGTATTGTTGGTTCCAAATAAATTCGGGGATGAATTGTGTTCTATAAACTTTTTAGATTAAATCAATATTAAATTATCGATAATAATTTTGACAATAAAAAAGATAGCAAAGAGAATAAGAGATAACACATGTAATTATGTGGGGAAAAAACTTTAAAAGGAGAAAAAAAAAATTGCCACTCCAATTTGAATACCTCTATCTAATTAAGAGATAAATCCACTATAATAAATCAAGCTCAATTCAAATATAATCATTCCCCCAAGCCTATTTTTTTAAAAAAAGGAAAAAAATGTTTGTCCTTTTAAATAACAGTCATTTTAGTTAAAATGATTGTTTTTATTTAATATTTAAATTAAAACATCTCTCACTTTCTCTCACCATGAGATCTGGAGAGCTTGATCCATCTTCAAAATGAGAGAGCTACAACAGTAGCAGACGTAGACACAAAACAACAAACACCTTGAATGCATCGTGGAGAGCTCTAAAAAGAAATGCATATAAATCCATGGAAGGAAGCCAAAAAACAAAAAAAAGAAGTACACGTAATCAGAAAATAGATGAAAACAAAAATCAAAGGAAGCATGGGGAGAAAGAGAGATGACAGAGCCGGAGAGAAAGGTGGTGGCGAGGATGCAGTTTTGGCCTAAGAAGAAGAGGAATCATCGACAAAGCAAACGAAGAAGATGACCCATAAACGCAAAAACACAGAAAATAAGAGAAAGCTCACACCTAGATCATAGGAAAAGGAACCTAGAAGCAAACAAAAAATGAAAGAAAATCCTAGAAAAGGTGAAATTGGAGAAAAACTGAAAAACTGTGAAGGAGAACAAACACAGATCACGAAGAAGGAAGTTGACTTGCAGTTCTAGAAAATATTATAGGGAGACCAAACAACCACAATCAAAGGCGGAGAATAACTGCAAAAATCAACGACGATAAAGCATCAGAGAAGAAGGGCCAAGAAGCCGGAGATGCACCGGCATTGGCGACAATGACAGATAAAAACTCCTTAAACCCAAAAATCACAGAGGAAATGAGATCTGGAAAGGACAAAAAAGAAGGAAAATGAGAAGCGACTGAAGAAGAAGGAGACGGGAGAAAAAGATCGATGAAAGGAACAAAGAAAAAACAACTACGGCAACAGAACCCTATTCATGGAGAATAAAAAGTTTCTTCTGATACCATATTAGAAGGTAAAAGAGGATAAAGATTGATTTTAATTCATTGGGTAAAATGGATACAACAAAATTTACAAATGAGTGAGGTTGTAACAACTCTATAACTCACCCTAAAGTAAAATAACAAATATAATAAATTAAATTAAAATAAAATAAAATATTTATCTATATCTCTAATAATTTTGACTAAAATGATACAATTCTCTATCTTTTAAAAGAGCAAACATTAATTCCTTAAAAAATAACTATAAATAGGTGATATTTTACAATTTAGGGAAAAAATTATTATTATTATTATTATTGTTATTATTATTAGTAGTAGTAGTATTGATGTTTGTAGATAGCAAGTTTATATTGTTATATGTGGTAGGATATTGTAACAACCAATTAAGGTTATTATCAATCAATTTCACTGTTAGATCGATTATGTTGATCTAACGGTTATATTTATTTCTATCTTTGTAGGGTTATGATTGTGAAATCATTAAATATGGAAAATCGTAAACATATAAAGGTGAAATTAAATATAAAGTATTAAGAGCCTGTTTGGATCTTTTTTTTTAAACTAGAAGCTATTTATAAATTAAAGTAAAAAAAAAGAGCTTAAAAAAAGCAAAAAACTGTTTGATAATTATATAAGATTTTTAGCTTAAAAGTCACTTAAAAACACATATTTTAAGAAAACTATCTCTCTATCTTTATAACTCTTCATTTTAAATAAAAACACACAATTCAAGAAAAGCAGATAAGAGTTTAAAAAAAAACTCCTCTTAAGATCTTTTAGTTTTTAACTTTTTTCTTTGTTATAAAAAAAAAACTTTTCATTATAAGAACTTTTCTCAAAATCTGTTTAATCTAACTTATACTTATAAGTAACTTTTAACTTAACAAAGAGACAATCCAAACAAGTACTAAATATATGAGAAATTATAATAATATAAAATTAGAAATAAATATAACCATAATCGATCTAATTATAAATTAATTAATAGTAATATGAAATTATTAATAACCTAATTGATTGTTCCAATATGTTATGTTGTGTGTGTGTATCTGTCATAATTTATCAACTCTATCGGGCCTTATTAATTACGAGAGAAAGAAAGGAAAGGAAAGGAAAGGGAAGAATAGAAACCTTGCTGACTTCCCGCAGCTATAATGGTTTTCCCACCTCACCGTTAGCATTGCTGGACTCTTCCCATAACTTGAAATTTTTTGGTTACCTCTTTCTCTGCACAAAAGGTAAAAGGAAAATTTTCCTCCTTCTCTCTCACAAGAATTATTAATTGCATCTGCAAATTTTCTACAGATGCAATCGGGTTGCTCGAGCTATTTAAATTCTTTGTTTTTTTGAACTTCGGATCGATGACAGTGGTGAAAGTTCTCTTTTTACGAGTTTGGAGATGTGGGTTTTCCTCCCCTCCCCCCCCCCCCCCCCTTCTTTTTCTTACGCAATACTATATTTTAATCTTAAATTTGGGGTTTCTGGAAAACATTGCTATAAAAGTTTGAATGTTTTTCGAGCCCCACGTTAGTTTACTTTACCAGCAATTCCGGTGTAATGTTTTAACTCTGATTCAGTGCACCAGTACCAGCCTGAAGAAGCTACTGTGATAATGTTGCTGAAGATTTAAATATCTCATGTTTCTACATCTTAAATTGGTGTAAAGACTTTTTTTTTTTTTTTCTTTAGTTTGATAATTATTTATTCATCAACTTATGAAGGAAAATTATTTGAACCTTTTTGGTTTGACATGGCATTACACTTTATCGGCAGATGTACTTATACCACTTTCGTAGCATTTGCATATTTTTTCTGATCTAGATGTAACTTTTGTGTTTTAAATGTTATGTAATCAGATGTTAGATGGTTATGTGTTTGCTTTCCTTTTGGTGCTTTCGTGGTCTGTGGAGGTAATAGATGCGAGTGCAGGTGATTCTGATCCGCATTATAGGTACTTATCTCCAATCTTTCCCTTGATTTCCTTTGAATGTTGTCCATATCAGTCTTTGTTTATATTTGGAATACATCTTATACAGATAAAAAATTTATTTTTTTATGCAATAAACAAGAGGTTTAGGGTGGGGTTTGGTAGACAAAAATAGATTTGAAGTTTTTTATAATCTAATTTTGGAATATCTGGCTTTAGTATATGGGCTTTGCAGAATGCATATCAGGTTGAAGCTAAATATTGTTTTGGAAACTGAGATTCATTTCATACTGGTGACAGAGTTGTATATATGCTTTTGTTTCTTTAGGTTTTGCATTGTCATGTTTTAACTTCTAATTTCTTTGAGCTTTCATATTTTTTCAGTGCTAACTGCCGATTGTTTGTAGCTTGCCAAAATACTTTATATATTTGATATTTAATGAAAATATAAAAAAAGTACTCTTAGGAGTCTTACCAGCAAATCTTAATAGTCTGTAACCGTATTCAAATGTACAACTTTAATAATAACGACCAGGCCTTATCACTAGATGGGGTTAGCCACATGGATCAATCAATGCCACTGGGTTCTATCAAAAATATAATTTCAATACACCATTTAGAGTAGTTTTTTTTTGCAATGGTTTCTCCTGAAGTTTTCGTAGGCCTTCATCTGCCCATACAAATCAGACGATCTTCCATTTGATCCATTTTTCTCTCTTTAGCCTCTATTAGTCTTCTTCTCTCATGACCTAAGCATGTTATATGAGTTTTTATCTTCTTGTAATCTTATAATTTCTTTTATTTCTGCTCATTCACTTTAACATTCTCATTTTTGCCAAGCTTATTGTTTTCTTTTGCTGGCACTTCATGCCCCAATATTCACTACCAAGGAGCATTGTGGGACTTATTATTTGATTTGCACTTTGCAATCCCAAATTACACTTGAATCAGTTTTTCATTTCATCCATTTTGCTTGAACTCTATTGTGATATCCCCATCAATCTCACAATCACTCTATAAGATAAATCCAAGATTTCTAAACCATGCAACTTGTGGTATGATGGGATCCACATTTTGCAACCTCAAAACATTGCTATCTAGATTATTACTAAACTTTCATTCCATATACTCTGTCTGACACCTACTTAACCAAAACCCTTAGATCTGGTTTCACCTAGTCCAATCGGTCACCCTTTCTCTAGAGACCATCTTTCCTTTCACGGCTTTTGTCTCATAAATGCACATCCTATTTTTTTTGAGTGTGTGGGAGCACATGCTCTCTTTCTTTCCACCTCCTCCGTCATTTCCTTTGCCACACCATCTTCAGTCAGACCTAGTCCCCATCACCTCTGTTTGGCACCCCACCCCCCATTGCTGTTTGGCTCCCTTGGCCTGCAGTTTCTTTTCCGTGCTTAGTGATCAGCTTTGACTGTTCTCTTTCTCTCCTTCAGGTTTGATGTGTTTGGGCTGTTTATAGGCATTTTCTGGTGATTATCTCTGGTTTTGTCATTATTTTAGTTACTTTTTGGCTTAGCATTGAGGGGGTGAATGGGAATGATGATGCAAACCCAACTTAAACTTCAATGCCACTGATTGTTAGTTTACTGTTCTTTTCCCACTGATGAATCATACCAGTGATGACTTCTTTCCCACGGATGCAACATACTAGATGTGACTTCTTGTCGATGAATATTCCAATGGTGACTTATGCTGGATATGACTCATAATAGCCCCATTTGTCCCAATTCCAGTCCTCTCTGTGTCAATGCCAGATGCAATGTGGCCTCATCTCCATCCTAGACATCTATCATTGTTTGGCTATGACTTAACCTGTCTAGTATATATCTTCTTTTAGTGTGTTTAATTTTAACAAGCTTAAAGGTTAGTCAACTTTATCTTTAGGGGGAGCGTTAGAATATCACAAAATATATAGAAAATATCTCATAATAACATTATTGTATCTTATAATACCTTAGAGTATCTTTAGATGATCTCTTAGGACTGATTTCTATATTTAATTACATTTCTTGATTTGTTTCCTAATTTGATTAGGATTAGAAGTCTAGTACTTGATTAAATCGGGGTTATTGCTTTGTATTTTGTATCACATCAAATAAATAACAATTTTGCATTATTCATTTGCATTATTCATGTCTTCCTCCCTCTCCCATGCGGCATCCTCTGATGTCAATCCTTCCCATTGGATCTTAACCATGGGAATAACTCTATTCCTCGGTTGCTTCTCATCACGAGTTAGAAATTATTGGCCGAGGTACGAGCAGGACCTCCACCACCACCACCACCATAGCAGGACGTTCAGATGGCGGATCCGATACCAGCTGTTGAGCCTGTTGTACTATGACAGGAAATAGTTGGAAATGCCACCCATGATGTTGATGTGTCTGTGCACAAAGGGAGAGATGGACCACCGGTGATTGATCGAGAGACTCGGAAGAGGATGCTGAATGCTTTCAGGAAGCATTCCCACCCCACTACAAGGGTGGAAGAGACACTGTTCCTGCCCTTGAGTGGATACGGGAGATGGAGCGCATTTTTCAGGTTATGGAGTGTGATGCAGAGATGAAGCTTCTGTATTCTGTTTATATGTTGCAGGGAGATGCAACGGACTGGTGGAACAATGTTAGGATTCCACTAGAGTGCCAGGGATATGCTATTACTTGGCCACTATTTGAGAGACACTTCTTGATGAAGTACTTCCCTGAAGAGGCTAGAGAAAAGAAGAAAAGGGAATTTGAGGATCTCAGGCAAGGAAACTGATAGGGCCCAATTGCGTAAGGCCCAACTGAATAATGTCTAATGTCTATGTGAGAGACAAAGGTAGAAAACGTTGGCTTGCTCCCACTCAATCTGTTATTGCTGACTCAGATATTCTGTTAGAGGAGGATGAGGTGCAACGCACTACGGGTTAGTTGGTAATAGTTTAAATACGCAGGGGAAGTGAGGGAAAAGGGTACCAAGGAGGTCATTGTTAGTTGGAGAGTATTAGGAGATTTACAGGGCATCTCGAAGGTCCCTGATTACTGCTTTTGTTGTTATTTCCATTAAACGTTGATCCATCGCAGCACTATGGAGAACCATTGTAATGCTTTTTTTGTTATTGAATGCTGAGTATATCAATATAAGAGTATTTCAGTAAAAAATTGTGTCTCTGTTACTTTATCTGTATCAATGTGGTATCAAAGCTCGTTCTGGGCGCTGGGGTATGGTCTGGACGAGAAGCATGGAAGGAATGGAAGAAGGGTTAACTCGCAGCGAACAATATCAGGAAGAATTAATACGTCGCATGGAGGCCAGCGATGCGAATCAAGCGGAAATCATACGTCAGCTAAGAGAGCTGAGGGCGGGATTGAATTGGCTTAGATTTGAGGAATTTCGAACGGTTAGAAACAACGAGAACAGAGAGGGAAGAAGGAATGGGTTTGAAGGATCCCACGGAAGTCACAGAGTAATGAATCATGGGGACTCGAGAGGTCGCAAATTAGAAATCCCTATGTTTGTTGGAGCAAATGCTTATGCATGGTTGAGTAAGGTGGAATGCTATTTTCAGGTGAATGAGATTGAAGATGAGGAGAAGGTGCCAGCAGTGATGTTAGTCCTCGATGGTGAAGCCCTTAGTTGGTATCAATGGTGGGAGTTAGACAATCCATCTGCGACGTGGGTACAATTCCGACGAGAAATTCTATGTAGATTCCAGCCTGAGATGTTGGACAACCCCTACGGACCACTATATTCATTGAAGAAAAACAACACGGTGGCAGAATTTCGGAACGAATTTGAAGCGGTGGTGGGCACCATGAGATACGCAGATGAGGTGCTGAAGGGCGCGTGGCTGAGTGGTATTAAGCCTAGCATTAGAGAAGAAGTCTTAATGACTCCTGGATTGAGGCTAGCTGCAATGATGAAATTAGCCCAAAAATATACCAACGTAATTTGGCATGGGCTGAGGAAGGTGTGGGATATTTTGGGCCCAAGCATGCGAATGGGCCATACAAGAATAATACTAATTATGCTAAGTCCAGTCTGGGTAAATTCAATCCAATTAAAAATAACACCACGGGAGGGGGAAGGGAATTATCACTGAAATCCCTAATTTGAACGCTATAAATCGCGGAGGAGTAACGATGGAAACTTCTGTAAACTCATCAACAAATCGAAGGGAGGAAAGTCAGGGGAGTAATTTCAGAAGGCTGTCTAACGAGGAGGCGTCGGATCGAAGGAGCAAGGGGTTATGTTTTCGGTTTGAGGATAAATGGCACCCAGGACACAAGTGCGCAGGAAAGCAATTTCATCTCTTGATTCTCGATGACGGAGAAGGTGACAATAACGGCAAGGTAGAGACAGAAGCAGAAGTCGTCCTAGAGCAAGTTTGCAAGGATGAGGATCTCGCTTTACAACTAACTTTGTAGAGCATGTTGGGGTTCATTTCGAATCAATCTATGAAAGTCTGGGGCGAAGTGGAAAACGAGAAGTTGGTGGTGCTAATTGATTGTGGAGCATCAAACAATTTTGTAAAGGAAGAGGTGGCTCATCGTCTGAAATGAAAGGAAGAGAAGACGCCATTATACAGAGTAGAGGTGGGAGATAGACACAAGGTGGATTGCAGTGGAGTCTGTAGGAAGGTGAATATAGGGATTCAGAACTAGATGATTGTACAAGATTTGTATATGTTTGAGCTGGGAGGAGCTGACATTGTCCTGGGTATGGACTGGTTGAGGCAGTTGGGTGATATTCGAGCTAATTTCCGCGAGATGACTCTCAGGTACGAGACACAAGGCAAGGAGGCATTTATTAAATGTGATCCTTCTTTATCTCGCACCATTTCATCTTTTAAATCCATGTCCAAAGCTTTGTTACAGACTGGTCAGGGGTATTATATTGAAAAGGAAGAGGTAGGTTCAACGACAATGGTTGAGGATGACATTTTTCCTATTGGTTGGAAGGAGTTGGCGAAATTAATTGAAGAATTTGCAGATTTGTTTATGAAGGTGAAGGGAATTCCACCA